TACACCACCACTCAGCTCCCTCACACACTCTACACCACCACTCAGCTCCCTCACACACTCTACACCACCACTCAGCTCCCTCACACACTCTACACCACCACTCAGCTCCCTCACACACTCTACACCACCACTCAGCTGCCTCACACACTCTACACCACCACTCAGCTCCCTCACACACTCTACACCACCACTCAGCTGCCTCACACACTCTACACCACCACTCAGCTCCCTCACACACTCTACACCACCACTCAGCTCCCTCACACACTCTACACCACCACTCAGCTCCCTCACACACTCTACACCACCACTCAGCTGCCTCACACACTCTACACCACCACTCAGCTCCCTCACACACTCTACACCACCACTCAGCTGCCTCACACACTCTACACCACCACTCACTCACACACTCTACACCACCACTCAGCTGCCTCACACACTCTACACCACCACTCAGCTCCCTCACACTCTACACCACCACTCAGCTGCCTCACACACTCTACACCACCACTCAGCTCCCTCACACACTCTACACCACCACTCAGCTCAGCTCCCTCACACACTCTACACCACCACTCACTCCCTCACACACTCTACACCACCACACAGCTCCCTCACACACTCTACACCACCACTCAGCTGCCTCACACACTCTACACCACCACTCAGCTGCCTCACACACTCTACACCACCACTCAGCTGCCTCACACACTCTACACCACCACTCAGCTGCCTCACACACTCTACACCACCACTCAGCTGCCTCACACACTCTACACCACCACTCAGCTGCCTCACACACTCTACACCACCACTCAGCTCCCTCACACACTCTACACCACCACCACTCAGCTGCCTCACACACTCTACACCACCACTCAGCTCCCTCACACACTCTACACCACCACACAGCTCAGCCTCACACACTACACCACCACTCAGCTGCCTCACACACTCTACACCACCACTCAGCTCCCTCACACACTCTACACCACCACTCAGCTGCCTCACACACTCTACACCACCACTCAGCTGCCTCACACACTCTACACCACCACTCAGCTGCCTCACACACTCTACACCACCACTCAGCTGCCTCACACACTCTACACCACCACTCAGCTGCCTCACACACTCTACACCACCACTCAGCTCCCTCACACACTCTACACCACCACTCAGCTGCTGCCTCACACACTCTACACCACCACTCAGCTGCCTCACACACTCTACACCACCACTCAGCTGCCTCACACACTCTACACCACCACTCAGCTCCCTCACACACTCTACACCACCACTCAGCTCACACACTCTACACCACCACTCAGCTGCCTCACACACTCTACACCACCACTCAGCTGCCTCACACACTCTACACCACCACTCAGCTGCCTCACACACTCTACACCACCACTCAGCTGCCTCACACACTCTACACCACCACTCAGCTGCCTCACACACTCTACACCACCACTCAGCTGCCTCACACACTCTACACCACCACTCAGCTGCCTCACACACTCTACACCACCACTCAGCTGCCTCACACACTCTACACCACCACTCAGCTCTCACACACTCTACACCACCACTCAGCTCCCTCACACACTCTACACCACCACTCAGCTCCCTCACACACTCTACACCACCACTCAGCTGCCTCACACACTCTACACCACCACTCAGCTGCCTCACACACTCTACACCACCACTCAGCTGCCTCACACACTCTACACCACCACACAGCTGCCTCACACACTCTACACCACCACTCAGCTGCCTCACACACTCTACACCACCACTCAGCTCCCTCACACACTCTACACCACCACTCAGCTCCCTCACACACTCTACACCACCACTCAGCTCCCTCACACACTCTACACCACCACTCAGCTCCCTCCCACACTCTACACCACCACTCAGCTCCCTCACACACTCTACACCACCACTCAGCTGCCTCACACACTCTACACCACCACACAGCTGCCTCACACACTCTACACCACCACTCAGCTGCCTCACACACTCTACACCACCACTCAGCTGCCTCACACACTCTACACCACCACTCAGCTCCCTCACACACTCTACACCACCACTCAGCTCCCTCACACACTCTACACCACCACTCAGCTCCCTCACACACTCTACACCACCACTCAGCTCCCTCACACACTCTACACCACCACTCAGCTGCCTCACACACTCTACACCACCACACAGCTGCCTCACACACTCTACACCACCACTCAGCTGCCTCACACACTCTACACCACCACTCAGCTGCCTCACACACTCTACACCACCACACAGCTGCCTCACACACTCTACACCACCACACAGCTGCCTCACACACTCTACACCACCACTCAGCTGCCTCACACACTCTACACCACCACTCAGCTCCCTCACACACTCTACACCACCACACAGCTGCCTCACACACTCTACACCACCACACAGCTGCCTCACACACTCTACACCACCACTCAGCTGCCTCACACACTCTACACCACCACTCAGCTGCCTCACACACTCTACACCACCACTCAGCTCCCTTGCGGCATAGTTCATGACTGGCGTCAGCGCCCCAGCTCTTCTTGTCAACAATGGTCGTATAAATTCCATTGACCTCCGCGTTTTCAAAATTTTAGTCATGTGTGAGGGGGAGTCGTGAACTGCTGTCCTTCCCTACTGTAAGTATATACATATCTCTTCTGTTTCTGTATTTCTCCCTCCTGTTGCTGTATCTCTCCCTCCTGTTGCTGTATCTCTCCCTTCTGTTACTGTATCTCTCCCTCCTGTTGCTGTATCTCTCCCTTCTGTTACTGTATCTCTCCCTTCTGTTACTGTATCTCTCCCTCCTGTTACTGTATCTCTCTCTTCTGTTACTGTATCTCTTCCTCCTGTTACTGTATCTCTTCCTCCTGTTGTTGTCATATATCATTATGTCTTCTACATCATTCTCTCTCCTTCACCACTATCTCTCCCTCACCTTTATGTCTCCCTCACCATTATCTCTCCCATACCATTATATCTCCCTCACTATTATCTCTCACACATTATTATCTTTTCCACACCCTTATTTCTCCCACACCATTATCTCTTCCACACCATTATCTCTCCCATACAATTGTCTCCCACACCGATATCTCTACCATATCATTACTTCTTCAATACCATTATCTCTCCGAAACTTTTATCTCCCAAACACCAAGAGTACATCCAATTACTGACTTTCTCTTGCGTAACATCCTCTACTGAGGATGTTACGTGACATCCTCTGACACGTAACATCCTCTACTGAGGATGTTACGTGACATCCTCTGACACGTAACATCCTCTACTGAGGATGTTACGTGACATCCTCTGACACGTAACATCCTCTACTGTGGCTGGTGCTCCACTCCAAAATATTTACTTTCTCTGTAAACGTCCAGTTCCCAGGTGAGCCTTTTGTGTGGCTGAGGCGGGGTCGCCAGTCTTGTCTTAGATTAACTGTTCAGCTTGACACACGCACACGCACACGCACACGCACACGCACACACACACGCACACACACACACACACACACACACACACACACACACACACACACACGCGCGTGGGTTGAGAGGCGGGACCAATAAGCCGAAGCTCAACCCCCGAAAGCACAACTAGGTGAGTACATACATAGGAAGAAGAGCGCTGGTGGCTGAGTGGACAGCTCGCTGGATACGTAATCCTGTGGTCCGGGGTTCGATTGAAGGATCCGGGTCCGGGGTGAAGGATCTATGCCCATTGTCAGAGACTCGACTTTAGTGATAGTAATATATATCCATTTTAACACGGCAATACATGATAAAGTGGTATATATTGATGCATCTTAAATTTGTTAATCCGTTGAAAAATATTTTATTAACTAAATGTTTCCAGCAAATTTTATACAGCTATCAAAGAACATTTACACTTTATTAATGTATTTTACTGAAAAGTACAACGTTTATTATTTAAACATGATTTTTTTTTTTAATATGGATGGAAGCAAATAGTATTATGAAAGTTAATATTTAGAAATCACACACACACACGACTTGATGGACTTCGTCTTCGATGGACCGAAACGTCCTCGTTTCTTCATCTTCTGATGTGTGGTTTAGGTCATCATAGAAAATTATAAACAAATTATTATCCAGCTTAGGACAACTAAATATTTTAAGAATGTTTCATTGAGCTATGAAACATTTAAAATTTATTAGAGTATTTTACTGAACAGTACATAAGTTAATTATCTAATCTTGAAAAAGTATTTTTAAAACATATGGGAGAAAAGAGTAAATGCTGCTGACACAATTAACATTCGTCATGACAGCATAAGCCGGTGGTACAGTTTCCCAGACTCGCTGGTAGTCTAGTCGAAGCCTAGTTGCTGTAACTCATATATGTTACTCAACCATAAATACTGAAACCTTCAATTCCTTAAGTGTCTAAAGTTGAAGCTGCAGCAATATCACCTTACGGCTGACTCTCAAGTGATGCTCTCAAGCTTGTGTTTACCTTGCGGGGAGTGGCCTTGGAGGTGTGTCGGGGACCCCCTTCCTCCCCTCCACACCGCTATAATATACATCGACTTTACTGATATTAGGTCTACTGTGTAAAATATATGGCAATATCGAACATTTAATTAGATCAAAACTGTATAAGTTGATGGGGGAGCAAGAACAAGTAGTATGTGTAAAGGACAGTTTAGCACGAGGGATCACCTGTTACGCCTACGCGATCTGAGCGTGACGTACGTCTTCCATACGCAGCTGAATTACGCAAATGTCTTACGCTGTTTATTTAATTATGATATGAAGGTGCGTAATGGTTTATACACCATGAACACCATCTCAGTAGCAACAGCATTAGAGCATATAGGGTTAAGGCACAGGGAAGACATGTTTGAGCGTAGGCGTAAAGATCCGGAGAGTGTAGCGACTGTATTGATCTGCGCGTCAGGTGTCGCTTGAGGGTCGGGGGCTCCGGTGGCCGACGCGCTGCTCGGCCACCAGTTGACGGCAAGATGGCGTGCTGTGTGGAGGTGCTCGCTCTCGTGCTGCTGATCGTCACGGCCTCAGCCACCACCCCTGACACGCTGCAGAAGTTCCCACTTTTGATGCCTCACGTCAAGCCTGAACGGGTGAGTGTGTGAAGGCTTGTTTGGGAATAGTCTGCTCAAGCCAGCAACTATGATAGGAAGTGTGGGAAATAGTCTGCTCAAGCCAGTAACTATGATAGGAAGTGTGGGAAATAGTCTGCTCAAGCCAGTAACTATGATAGGAAGTGTGGGGAATAGTCTGCTCAAGCCAGTAACTATGATAGGAAGTGTGGGAAATAGTCTGCTCAAGCCAGTAACTATGATAGGAAGTGTGGGGAATAGTCTGCTCAAGCCAGTAACTATGATAGGAAGTGTGGGAATTCCCTTGATGTTCAGGAGACACGTGGCAAGGCTGGCGTCCGCAGGCCCGTATAGTGTACGACAAATTATTATTATTTATACGCCTTGCTAATGGTCCAGGACGGACCCAAACATCGTCGTCTCTTCATCTTCTAGTGTGCGGTTTGGTCATCATATCTTCAGCCACGTTATTGTGACTCATCATCTGCTTACTGTTATTGCATAACGCTATTTAGGCAAATACTTTATGGATATTGCCAAGCAATTAAAGTAGGTATTTATACTTACCAGCTGCTCCGGAGGTTTTAAGTGACACATGATACAAAGAAAATAATGTGTTGTGCACAAGAAAGCAAAACAAATATGTATGTAAAATATTTTAAAGACCGTAGAGTAAAAATACAATTCCCGGGAATAACCCATTCTCCAGGCTTAAACACAAGCCATATGGTAGGCTTCGTTGCATTATACACTATGATACTCAGACACTACCATAGGTAATATCATTCATTGGCACCTTATATACATTATTTATGCCCTTGTAAACGTATATTACGACTCGTAGCAATAACAGTTAAATAAAGTGCGAATTATAGAGGTTGGTGTTTTAAAGGGTGTGGGGGCGACAGCTATGACGTCACGCTTGCGTCACACTCCAGGGTTCCAGAGTTACGAGAACTCTGAGCTACTGCTATTCAAGATAGCTTATCCCATTTAAATGTTAAAGGACGATCGTTTAAAAGATTTTTATAAATGCTTATTAATAATATATCTTTCCGAAACTAATTTACAATCCACAATTTTGCACGAATTAGCCCAGTCAGTTGAAAGATTACAATCTCTTAAGTGAACAAATAATGCATTGGACCCTTGACCAGTTTTTATACTGTATTATGTTCTTTTATTCTCTGGTCAGGATGTTTACCTGTTTGGCCAACATAGAACTTATTAATATTTTTACATAAAATTTTATACACACTTCCATTGCAACTATCAGGTAAATTTTTAATTAGGGTTTTATATATCAAGATTCCTAAATGCTACATTGATATTAAATTGTTTTTTTAATTTAGGAATTCAACAGAAATTATCATGAAGTAGTAGAATTAATGTATTCTGAATATTGGATTCTTCTTTCTTTTTCAAACCAAAGAAAGTGTTACGAGCAATTTGGCTGGCTTTATCAATATATGGCAGGGTATTTTATATTGAAACAGAGACACGGATGGCACCAATGTCGTCATCTATAAACTCAGGACTATATATCCTTAGAGCCCTCAGAACATAGAAAAAATACAACTTGTTTTACACTTTGATGATAAGATGAATAAAACTGTTCATAAGACCCAACATTTGTTGGTTTTCTATATACTTAAAACTTAAAATTATTTTACATGTATAAATGATCACATCTAAGAATGGTGACGAGTTGTCTAGTTCCATTTCCATTATAAACGTCATGGATGAGGCTAGAGTGTTTAAATCTAATAAAAACGTGTCCATGTTTCTGTTCATAGACCATAAGCAAAACAACATAACGGAACCATGTAACATTAGTAGGCAAAATTTTTCTTAATAGTCTTGTTTCATAGAATTCCATATGAAGATTGTTTAAAACAGGAGAAAGACGGTTACCCATAGCCATTCCAAATTTTTGACAATAGAATTCATCATTAAAAACAGAATTAGAGTTAATAACACAGTTATATTAATTCTATGAACGTAGAAAATGGAAGGGGGCAAATAAAATTTTAACAGTTCATCAGATAAAAATCTTAGTAAGTCATCAACTGGAACTTTGGTGTATAAACAAGTTACATGAACGCTAACCATTTCATAATTACAAAGGTCTTTCTTATTACATAATTTTTCAACTAAATCAACATTATTCTTTATATTTGAATTATAAATATTCTCAACAATACTCGCCTAGTTTCACTAGGTGAGTAATGGACTGTCCAATACTCCGGATAGTCTGGAACTGAGTATAATAGTCCAAATTGTAAACCTATTGTTGGTAATCTTCTCTCAGCATCATTCAGCCCTCGTCGTCATGCTGAGAGATGGCTTCAACACTGAGAACGAAGCTTGCATTAACAATTGGGCTCCTACCAACCAAACCGTTATTGGTAATGGTGACCTTCCACACGCTCAGCGGTGACTCCTTCACGGCCAGCGGTTCCCGCCCGACTGTATGAAGCCTCGCACATATAAATCAGAATTTTTGTGGTCTTGACTCAATTCCGTGTGCACTTTGTCTCTCAATATTTTCCTTAAAGACAACAGAGCCGATAAGCTAGCCTAAGCATATGCTCTCATAGATCGCATCATTTACAAATTTGGGTGCTCTGTATAGACTGAGGACAATAGTACGCAAATATCTTCCCCGTCTCATAGGCTTGAGGGTAAGCCAGATGGATGAGAGTCCATTCATCGCGCCTACTGCCATGCCAGACTATCACAGGTGTGGTTGAAGCATCATGATCAGTTGACATTGTTGTTACTATCGCTCAGATTCTCTGTGAGAGTGCGTCGCTCACTGCTATAATCCTGACTCGGTGTTAATTTCACAATTACTCTTATCTGCCATCCTTATGTACTTGCATGTAAACATTACTAAAGGCAATTCAATCACAAACTTCAAGAAATGTCAAAATACTTCATGCATGATGATTTATTACCTAAACGTTTACCCCAAAATCCGGCTTATCTAAGAATCACAACTTTGCCTGTTGTAAATAGTTCATTACTAGTGTAATATATTAAAGTGAACATTGGGATCCAGTTGCATGTTAAGTGAACACTGGTCCAGTTACATGTTAGTTAAGTGAACACTAGGGTCCAGTTACTTGTTAGTTAAGTGAACACTAGGGTCCAGTTACTTGTTAGTTAAGTGAACACTAGGGTCCAGTTACTTGTTAGTTAAGTGAACACTAGGGTCCAGTTATTTGATAGCTAAGTGAAAATTCGGGTAGAGTTACATGATAGTTTAGTTAAAATTGGATTCCAGTTACATGTTAGTTAAGTGAACATTCGGGTGCAGTTACATGGTAGTTAAGTGAACATTGGGGTCAAGTTATGTGTTAGTTAAGTGAATGTTGTACCCAGATTACTGTGTCAAATTTATTTAGTAGTCTCTCAACATACTGGTGGCGGAAGCTGTTTATGGAGCGCGTGGAGGAGGTTATGAGGTTCTTCTTTAGGTTATCTTGAGATGATTTCGGGGCTTAGCGTCCCCGCGTCCCCCGTACATTTGTTCCACCCCACTCCCCAGGCAGCAGCCCGTAGCAGCTAACTCCCAGGTACCTATTTTACTGCTAGGTGAACAGGAGCATCTGGCTGAAAGAAACTTGCTTATTTGTTACCGTCTCCACCGGGAATCGAACTCGGAACCTCAGGACTACGAATCCCGAGCGCTGTCCACCCAGCTGTCAGGCATCTTAAGTGTGGCAAATCTATTGGAGACAGTGTATGGTTGGTCCCTCCTGGTCAGTGTGTGGTTGGCCAAATCACTGCAACTTGCTAAGGCCGCACGAGCATCAAGTGTGCGTTGACGCACACCGAAAATTACTTGACCTGTTAAGCAAATCGGGACATGCATACTAGGCCAAGTTGTACGTTCTGGCTATTAGGTACGACATATGTATACATATTAGAGAGGGTTGTTTAATGGGGAGGGTTGTTTGGTGGGAGGGTTGTTTGGTGGGGAGGGTTGTTTGGTGGGGAGGGTTGTTTAATGGGGAGGGTTGTTTGGGGAGGGTGTTTGGTGAGAGGGTTGTTTGGTGGGAGGGTTGTTTGGTGGGAGGGTTGTTTGGTGCGGAGGGTTGTTTGGTGGGAGGGTTGTTTAATGGGGAGGGTTGTTTGGTGAGAGGGTTGTTTGGTGGGAGGGTTGTTTGGTGGGAGGGTTGTTTGGTGGGAGGGTTGTTTGGTGGGAGGGTTGTTTGGTGGGAGGGTTGTTTAATGGGGAGGGTTGTTTGGTGGGAGGGTTGTTTGGTGGGGAGGGTTGTTTGGTGGGAGGGTTGTTTAATGGGGAGGGTTGTTTGGTGAGAGGGTTGTTTGGTGGGAGGGTTGTTTGGTGGGAGGGTTGTTTGGTGGGAGGGTTGTTTGGTGGGAGGGTTGTTTGGTGGGAGGGTTGTTTGGTGGGAGGGTTGTTTAATGGGGAGGGTTGTTTGGTGGGAGGGTTGTTTGGTGGGAGGGTTGCTTGATGGGAGGGTAGCTTGGCGGGAGGGTTGCTTGGTGGGGAGGGTTGCTTGGTGGGAGGGTTGCTTGGTGGGAGGGTTGTTTGGTGGGAGGGTTGCTTGGTGGGAGGGTTGCTTGGTGGGAGGGTTGCTTGGTGGGAGGGTTGCTTGGTGGGAGGGTTGCTTGGTGGGAGGGTTGCTTGGTGGGAGGGTTGCTTGGTGGGAGGGTTGCTTGGTGGGAGGGTTGCTTGGTGGGAGGGTTGCTTGGTGGGAGGGTTGCTTGGTGGAGGGTTGCTTGGTGGAGGGTTGCTTGGTGGAGGGTTGTCTGGTGGAGGGTTGCTTGGTGGAGGGTTGCTTGGTGGAGGGTTGTCTGGTGGAGGGTTGCTTGGTGGAGGGTTGCTTGGTGGAGGGTTGCTTGGTGGAGGGTTGCTTGGTGGAGGGTTGCTTGGTGGAGGGTTGTCTGGTGGAGGGTTGCTTGGTGGGAGGGTTGCTTGGTGGGAGGGTTGCTTGGTGGGAGGGTTGCTTGGTGGGGAGGGTTGCTTGGTGGGAGGGTAGCTTGGTGGG